AATCTTCTGATGTTTTCAAAATTCTTATGAAATCTGTTCTGGGATCAAGGCAAATATTTTTCTGTTTTCGGTATGTCGCAGTTCGAGAATTTAGCACTATTCAATATTTTGAGTGGTGCTCAAACAAATGCTGTCACAGTGGTGCTATCAGAGATTCAAAAAGCGGGTTCTGTAGAGAATTCAATTCTCTATTGAATGAGACTAGAACCAGATTTTTACATCATTCGGAAGTGCCTTAAAAATAAAGAACAAAAGTATCCCGTTTACTATGCGCCACCCGTTAGTCCTAGGATTTGAAAGATAAAATTTTCTTTCATACTTCATTCTAACTGATATACTTATGAGAGAAAAATATATGTATCGGTAATGAAAAATTTTACTTCGATGTCGAAAAATTCAATTTTTATGAATTTAGTAAAGAACTCTTTGAAATTGAGACTGTCCTTTGCTATTTTTTCGGCCAAAATTCACTATTTTGATAAAAATAAGGTCTTATTCGGAATCAGGATCAAACACTGGGTCGAATGACATGGGTCTCAGGAATTTTGAATGGCCTCAAAGTTTTTCGTTTTTTTCAAAAATCAGAAATCAAAATTTTCACTCAAACTCCAAATATTTCCATAAGCCTGAGACCAATGTCATTCGACCCAGTGTTTGATCCTGATTCCGAATATGACCTTGCTTTTGCAAAAATGTTGAATTTTGACAGAACAAGTTCGGACAACAAAGAGAAAAAAATTGCGTTTTTCATGTTGTTCACCCCTAATGCCTACGCTTGTGGGGATTCTGCATTCTGTCACCTAGGCAACTTAATTTTATTTTAAGTATAGAACGGGCATAGTGAGCACTCAAGAGGTCCACTTTAGTAGTCGTCTTTCCTGGATCTTCAAGAAAATCCCCTTCGAGAGTAAAGAGTTAAGCAAATTCACCACCGCTGTTTCATCTGTACGTCATTATCGTTCGGTTTTTAAAGCTCCTAGAAATAGATAGGTTCTGTGTGAAAAAGACTGAGGTGATTAAAATTATGATGTTTTTTATTATATGATTGGTAAAATCGGATTTCTATAAATAACAGTGTCACATGATGATCGAATAAAAAGAAACCGATGTGGTCTGAATATGAAAAAAGAGTAGATGATAGTTTATTGATGTACGATCACTATTATAATGGTGTTTCCTTGTCATTCGTTCAAAAAGTCATGAGAAAACTTGACCAGCTTCATCATGGAAAATTGACTTTTCTATTTTCACCTTCTAATATATTGGCATCACCCAAAGCAGCTTTAACGTAGCCAACCGCACGCGTCATTAAATTCGATGCTGAATCCTAAACATAAAAAAACAGACGGTGTAATAATCATTTTATACTACGAATCCTAACGCTCACCCAATATTCTGCTCCTTCAACATCAATTCGAAGAAGTGCTAATTCAGGATCATCGAGACCGCCTGGAAACCTTAAAAAGAGTAAAAACAAGAGACGTTTTCTAGAGTAAATACAAGAGACACGTTTTTTCGCTGTTTTACCATGCTTTCAAATAATCACTCCATAATTCTTTGGCTTTTTGTTTATCTCGTATTAATTCAGCTTTACCACACATTGACACATAATTTTGCTTTGATGGATCAGAAAATGTGACATTAACATGATTATTTTTCTTTATTTCTCCCACTTTATGCGAATCAGCACGAGTGAAAAACCAAAGTTCACCATCTTTTTCCACCTGTTTGTATGCCATTGGACGTGAATGTAAATTATTTTCTTTATCAGTTGTTGTTAGCATTGCAAATTGTATATGTTTAATCTAAAGTAGAATAATAATAACAAACATGCATGTAATATTGGTAAATATTAACTTACCATTGACAATACATGGTTTTTGTCTTTGGGATCTCTTGATAGTGACATTTTTGAAGTAGAGTTGTTATAAACAAGGTGTAAAATGAATCTAGAAAACAAAAGATCATCCTTAAATAAATTTTTTTACGAAAAACTGCCACACTAGTCTATTATCACGTTGCTTTTAAGATTTTTGCTACATATTTTCGATTTTTGAGCAAGAATCCATAATATCAGACGATTATTGGGACAAACGTGTTTTCATCAATAAAATTTGACCTTGCAAATATATCTGCCTAAATTCAAACCGAATAATTATATTTTCGAAGAAATCAATAGGTTCCAGAGAGCAATACTCTCATTTTTTTGGGTTAGTTTTATTTTTCGGTAGTTTAAGTTTTAGAATACTTAGAAAAATGGATTTATTTTCACTTGTTTTCTACAAAAATAAGCTTAAGTCAATGTTTACAGTGCACAAATGCAGAAGATGCGCCTTGTAAAACTTACGTTATTGCTATTCTGTATAAGAACTAAAACTTAGATGAAATAGATAAGTATAAGAATATGTTAAGTACATATGGTTATTGTAGTACTACAAAACAAGTTTGACTATTATATAACTCGACGATTTAAAGATACTGCTGGATTGAAGTATACGAAAAAATGTTTTTGTCTAACAAAACACGAGAACATCAGAAAAAAATGTGCTCAGCATATGCAACATTCACATAATCTCGTTAAACAAGTAAAAGAACATATGTAAACTAGTTTAGTTAGCTAAGATTAGTAAAATGTATTGGAAAGTCTAGAACAAGTCCGCGTGTCATCTAAATAGAATGATCGTGGCTTTTTGATCATCCTATTTAGATGTCATGCACAATTTACATTCGTGGCGAACGTATTTTTAAAATTTATTTTCTTCGTTAATAGTTTTCTAGGGTACAATATATCGACTATATACATAGATAGTTAGATAAATATTTGTATCTTTATTTACAAATACCTCGCACACGCGCATGTATCAATTGGCTGATTCTTCATTGCTTCATTCTAAGAGATTACGGACTAATTTTTATAAATTATGTTGTGAAAAATAATTATAAAACGTGTGTAGCATTTTTGCTACTATAGGACTCAAAGGATTAAATATATAGATCAGTTCATAACTTTGTGAATTAGTAGGTTTTAACGAGCTTTGTTGCCGTACATTCAAACTGCCGATTTTCCTCACATTTTGATGTTGGTTGGTCTTTAGCGTTATCTATTGAGGAGAAACGGATGCTTTGGACAGAAAATTTTTATTATACTGTTGGGAGTCGAGACTTTTTCCACAAAATGTCCAGTGAGATTTTCAATTTTGTTTTTTCGATATCTCGATAAATAATACTCTGATCAAGATCAAACTTTGATCATTTTTAAACCTCATAAGATTTGATATTTAGTAAAAAAATGAAACTGAAATATTGCATTGTTGAAGAGAAATTTGAAAAATACTTGAAAATGTTCTGTGAGATTTTTAAGAAAGAAATATTCGATGAGATTTCTGAAATAAACTAAAAACAAAATTTAACTTGTTATATTCCATTTGATTCGTCTGAGTGTAATCTAATGAACCGTGAGGCTTAAAAGTGCTAGTTCTGCAAGTGCGAGTAAGGATTTTCAAAACTTACCTTTCGGTCAGAGATTTTTATTTTCGGCATTTTCAGAAGGAAATCTACATGATAGAGTTTTGAGAGTTGCATCATCGGATTTGGCTCATTGAGATCTAGTCATTTTGCTTAATACTTATTATTCCTCTCAAGTGTAATTGGGATTTTCTTAAATCATCTTGGAGATTCAGCTATCTGTAAGTATTAAAAACATGTTTTTCACTGTTTTGAGTGTAAAGTGTAGGAAAAAAGCTTTTTTGATTAACTGAAAGAATAATAAACTCAACCTGACGCTCGGAACATCTGTTTGTAAGCAACTTTTCAAAATTCTTTTGCTAAACGATAGCGATGCCATTTGGTCATATATATATACAAATGTATTCACTTATTTATATGAGATGTTTTTTATAGAATGTAGAAAAATGGTTAAAGTCGTAACCTAAAAACCTTTAACACCTTGGAAGTCTGAAAACGTATATATATATTATGTATATATTCACGTTTATATATATATATGTTGTAGGCAAAGCTGGAATTCCAGCACAACTCCAGTGTTAGTTTTGCCTGAAGTGTTTTTTCTAGGTAGAAGTACAATATAAGTTGTCTCTGGCATATTTTAAATTTGCCTGGGGAAAACTCTAATTTTAGTTTTGACCGTCAAAACTTGTATCGTTAAAAATTATAATTTGTTTTGAGTTTTGCCTGAATACAATTAGACAAAATTAACATCTTGACACCATCTGAGAATATTCCTGACTCCAGTCTACCTAGAAGAAAAACTTCAGACAAAACTAAAACTGGAGTTGTGCTGGAATTCCAGCTTTGCCTACAACATATATATATATATAAACGTGAATCTACTACAGTGCGGAATGAAATTAAAAACTGTCTTTGAGTTCGCAGCGAATGTATATTGTACATAGTGCGCTTAGGAAGGGCAATTTTTGTTCTTTCAAATAAAGTCGGTTAGAGATAGTATAAAATAACGTTTTAAAGAGAAATTTGTATTTTGGATTCACACTTTTTCGAAGGAAAAAGCACTCTTAAAAAAAGTGTCTCACCAGCTAAAAAGGGTACTTTGATGAGCGGTGAATGGGGCACTTCAAGCACAAAAATGTGTCCTGTCCAAAAAGATGTCCTGCTGTAGGCTATCTTAAGCGCACTAATTCATCGCCTAAGGGGCACTTATTTTTATACAGTGAGAAGAAAGGAAGTATCCTTGGACGGACGATTCTAGTAGAAATTTTCAAAAGGGACAGGGGGATCGCTCTCCGCCTTCGTGAATCTGTCAGCTTTATAGTCTCTTTTTTTTCAGTTGTTTGCTTGTCGTGAACGATTATTTTCTCCACAAATACAACAGAATGTGGTATATATTATTTCAAACTTCACTAGAAAATGTTAAAATTCATATTTTATTGAAATAATTATAATCAGTACTAAGAGAAGAAAAGACTATATCGAAATTCGTTTGCCGGTCGATTTTGACACCAGAAGTTTTTGTGTTCTTCTCTTTCAGCATGATGCAGAAACAATCTTCCAGGTCTGTTCCCATTGGTGTTATACAAATTAAACTGCCCAGCGGTTAACAAAATACAAAAATTTATTTGAAGTATATTAGATGTCAATATCTAGCATGATGGTCGTAGAACATTTCGTGCAAAATGTCCCGGATTAATTATATTTCCAGCCGGATAATAATTTGCTACAATATATACTTCTCTTCCATCGGGAGATAATGCAACTCCTACACCCATTTTTTTCGTATCTTTCCAGACCATTTGAGTAAAATGACCCGTTTGTTCAGAGTAAGTTGGATTATTATAATCATATAATGAAATTTCATCGTACCAATTTTTCGTAGCAGCCGCACCTTAAGAATAAAACACGGCAGTTATGATCTAATCAGAGACGTGCGCCGACGCCGAAAACAGGAATTTCTTTTTATTGTTTACACCGACGCCGAGAAAGTGAAGAAAACGTTTTTCGAACTTTTTCAGTAGGAATATGTTGTTTTCTTTATGCGTTTATAACACAGGGTGTGCTATTTTCTTTTTAACTCATGTGATACAGACTTGATTATTCATATACCTGGTCATGATATACTCGATTGTATTGCTTACTTACCACTGACTTTCACTCGTCCATCACTGATCCATTGCATGTACAAGTTTTCTCCTAACGATTCCTTGCCTAGTTTATTACCACTGTGTTCAAATGTGCTGGTAGCTGCCAAATAGTTCGCATATGACTGAGCAATCTCATTTAGTGTTCTACTAATAATTAATGGTGGAACGCAATGACGAGCACGATGCCAATTGTGAAGTTTCAATGTTTCATTTAACACTTGCATTTGTCTTCGATGTTGACCTGAATGAGTTGAATGAGCTAGAAAAAAGCAAAATATAGATGTGCTAATAAGCTAAACAAAAGTTGAACATACCCTTCACCATTTGTTGTGCAAAAACGTCTTGTGGAACCGATCGTATCTGACGATGAATTTGTCTTAAATGCTGACGTGGATGAACCATTTTTGTGCCTTTTCCACCTATTAATATTTATTCTAGAATCAGATACAAAAAGAAAAGCGCTTTGATTTATTCTAAAGATATGAGATTTTATATACTATTTACTACAGTTTCTCTTCCCTTTTTAAAAAATCTTTCAATTGAACAACATGATAAATTATCCATTATGATTCTCTGTGGAATTTAAAGAACTACTTTATCGAAACTCAAACAATTTCACTTCAACTAAACAAACATACTGCAAAATCAACTTGCCAGCAGTATGAGACAGGACTCGAAACAGGCCAAGCAGCCTGATATGGGACTTTCACAGTGTGAAACTATGTACTAGACTGAAATAGATCACTAAATCCTGACACAGTTGAGAATATCTTATTAGTTAGATCAGTTCAGAAAATACTTGAACAAAAACCAAATTTTTTTACTTAGATATATTGTTTAGTTATCCGTCACTTTCTTTCCATCTTATGTTACTATTATTTGTACATTTTATTTATTAAAAAAATTACCAAGCATCTACAGACCAGGCCAGGGTAGGCCGAGAGCAATGGCAGGTAGGCAAGGCTCAGGAAATATTTCGACAGGTCCAGGCAGATCTAAACATTACAGGTCTGACGCAGGCAGACCAGGCCTCAAAATTGTCGGCTTGTTTCGAGCCCTGGTATGAGACTTAATATTTAGTATTCACTAGTATTTACTGTCTGATTCAGCAATTCTTCTTTGCGTCTGTTGCCTATATACATCATAGCTGGAAACGTTTAGACTCCAGTAGAGGAATAAAGCAATGTTCATATTATGTGAATTCACAAGTATACAAACCGGTCCAATGCTGAAAAGTACCTTTTTTTCTATTAATGAATAAATAAATATCACCTATGTATTTATATATTTGTCATACATTGTTCTGCTCTGTTCTGATCTAATGCTAGATTAGATCATGCGTGACTTTCAGTGAGAAATTTCTTTGGATTGTATAAAATATTTTTTTGCATAATCAATAAACACACATCGTAGTGCATATGAATTATTTCATCCTCTTCGGACAAGATATAAGAGTGAAAGATTTTTCTTACAAGTTCTTTAAGAATCATGAAGCATTCTTTAGGAATGAATAATAGAAAACATATCGAAATTATTAATCATCAATAGTTGATCTAAATAACAAAGGTATAGAAACGTATTTCTATTTAACAGATACGTGGGATTTTTGGACTCTATGTCGATCAGTACATGCAACAAACACATGAAAGAAAACCGATTCAATCTTATATGATTTGGATGTGCACTTTATATAATGTAGAATGGGAAACGACTGCGACAATGACCATCGATTAACTGATTTCTTATCCTCACTGTTTCAACTATATGCTATGTAATGTGATAATGCTTATTTATTTCCTGAACACATAGAAAATGTGCTATATATATATATATTTTATAAACTGTTAAAAATTCTGTGACGATTAATTATGCTATGGATTTATAATCATATTTTGGGACTAATTTTACAAATGAATCAAAGTACATCATAAACCGAGTTGCTAACTCGAAAGAGAAAAGTGTATAAAAAAGCAAGGGCTGTAGATCAACTGTACACTGTAAAAAGTTGGAAAAGTCGAGTTCTTCCTATAGTTCTTAAAACTGTGCAGGTTGATTCATCAACATTCGTGAAAGTAGAATAAAATGTATATGTGAACATGGCTTTGCTCATACTCATGTTAGCTTCTTCTATGGTGTAGTGACATGCTTGATCCATAAGACCTGTAACTTGACATCTTCACATTCACCATTACACATTTAGTAAGGATTGCTAATATACCGTTGATATTTCTTTTCAGAGTATTATTTATTCTAAAACAAAAATATAATATCATCAGATGGTATCAGTGAATCAAAAAAATGACTAAAAAACAAGCATTGAATGGACCAGACTATTGTGTTAAACGAATGTAGTATGAAAATACGAAATGGTCACGATACTCTTTGGAAGGTCGTATATTAAAAAACCAACATCGTTTATCAAACATCACCAAAAAACAACTATGGGTACTCAGAAAAGAGAACGAATCGACGGTCGTATAGACAACACACCTATAGTCGTCTAAAAAGAGACCGGCTTGAAAAGCATTGACAACACACAACGGAGAGTTGTGAGGTTTATTTGAATCTGAAGATTAATTACCGACCGGTTTCACTTTTATTTATATAAAAGTTTATCAGCATATTTCTTTATAATAATTTGTAATATAAATCGAAGATAAGAAATGTATCAAAGTGGAAAAACAACGACGGAAGGTCCCCGCGTGTCCAATCACTTTTTTGCTTGAAACATACGTCGTTATAGGTAATTTTCGACGCTAATATGATCTTCATTTAGGGTCATATGGACTTTAGACTTGGATCTCTGAAAAAGCGGTCGCTTGAGCCATCCTGTCTGATTCTCTAAGAAATTCACTGTTAACTATTTTTGGTTTTTCTCTTGAGTACATTTATTATCGTTAGAAATGACAGAACCGCACTCACGCTCACTACGCTGTCTTGCTAGCGAGTATCAATAGCCACATATAATTCTGCTTCTTATTACCTTTTTCAGTGTCCGTGTAATTGAAACAAATTAGCCTTTTATTTGCTGACGTTATATAAAATGTCAACTAGGATTTTTCTTTTATTTTGTTAGGGAATTATTGCAGTGGACTGAATCGTTTATTTTCTCAAAACACCAGCTTGACATACAGGTTTTTTGTTAGTTGTTTTTTATGTTACTGTTATTATGAATCATGTAATATATTATTTTGATAAAAGAATGTATATATTGTGTGTAAGTTGTTTTGGTGTTCAAATAGAATTTCAGCAGTTTTTCTTAGTCGTTGTGTAGATTGAAAATGGAAAAATCCAATATAAATGAATATATATTGAATCTGTTTCTGTGATGCGTTTGTAAAAAAGAGTCGATTATGAAATTATAATATTAGAAATGCAGAGTTTTGCTGTCAAAAATCACTTTTTGAATTAATATCCCTACACTGTAATCTTGAATTAATTTCCAGTTTATAGAAAATCGATCGAAAAATCGCCGGGGATTTTCTAGTTTATAGAAAATCAATCGGATTTCTATAAATAGTTTCCAAGAATCTGGAAATTCGATTTTGATTTTCTATAAACTGGAAATTCGTCCAGGACTTTCTAGACCAAATACTTATTCATCTTTTGTTTTGCAATCAGTGTAGGTATAAGAGCGTCACGTAAAGTCAATATCTTGAACATCTTGTAATTTCTTGACTTCTTGTAACAAGATCTTGGAAATTCTTGAAGCACCATTTTTGTTTTACGCTTTTGTGTAAATATAAATGCGAATATTTTCACACTTAGAATAACTTCGAATTTTTTCCCTCCTTGAACATAGTTGCTAAGGAAGAACCTATGGTTCTATATGGTCGTAAATCTGATGCTATGACTGCCATAAATGAAAACAAAATGTAAAGAAAATTTTTTATTCAAGCTCTTGCAACATCTTGAGTGGATTCAATCAAGATCTTGAGTAAAAGATTCAAGAATCCAAGATCTTGATTTCTTGGTGTTTTTTTCAAGATCTTCTGACATTTCTTAACCCAAGATCTTGGATAGAAGAAGTAGTGGCGTAAATAAGCCCTGGCACCGGTGAAAAGGGAAATCTAGATTTTAGAAAAAATTTCATACTATCCTTTATGACTCCAAAAATTTATAGAGCGTCGCCCGGGCATCCACCATTTCCTGATTATGCCACTAACAAGAAGTTTCACTGGGATCGCCGTGCGGACGTTGGGGGTGATTATTTTTCCGTGGAGGAATCATCTTGCTGAGAATTGTTACTACTGACAGCAAGTATTATATGTTGCTTTGGATAAGAAAGTATGGAGCAAGTAAAGATCTCACTTTATCATTGATTCTAGAATAAGAAAGGGCTAGTGTTGGGATATTTGTGAAGTTTTCTTTCTTCTTTACACTGTGTATGAGCGATATTAGCCAGTAGATGTCACTTATTCTTTCGTCAGTTTGTAATAAAAGAGCCCATATCCTCGGTGATTTGTCGATGAAGTGCGTTGTAAATGGTAACATTTGTGAATCACATGTAGACTTCATACATTGCAAATTTGGTGTTTTAAAACATGTTTGGAATTAAAAATGACTTTTCTACTATTTCTAGTCAAATCTCTCTCAGTTCACGTCACACAGCTGGAGAAATAGAGGCACGTTCTCTAGTAGTCGACATTTATCAAGTTCGTTTATGGAAACTACTTCATAAAGCCGATAAACAAGATACTGCGGCAATCTATGATGTTTTTAAAGTAATTGATAATTCTTGGTTTACATTAGAATAGGAAACGATTATGGAACAATAACTTTTTCAGATAAAGAGAATGTTTTTTATTTGGGAGCAAGCGCAAAATTATACTACTTTAAATTTTCTGACTGATTTGTAAACTGAGAGATAATTTATCTGTTACTGAAAGATATATTCCTATAATCGGAAGCAAAAGATGTGCGAAGGCGAAACATACGATTTTCAGAGGAACATTTTTCTTATACTTTGAGCATCAAATATTATAAAAGCTTCTTATTGTTTTATTTATCTTTTCAGTGTAGTATCAATGAATTATTGCATACTATTGTTGCACTTTATGATTCAACATTGCCTGATATTGGCACTGAAACAATCTATAGTACGATTTGTAACAAAAAAGTTGTAACTGTTCTTGTTGCTATTGGTAGTTATACTTGACTTTTCAATCATCAACAAACTACTCCTGATTCTTGTCATTTACTTTTTGAAGAAAACAATAATCCAACGAAATCAATCGTGAAAAAACCATCGAAAAAGGATCAAATCATTGATGAAGAAGATTGTCTTGATAAACTTTTAGAAGATATTGATTCTCCTGATAGTGTATTTAAAAATGTATTTTCTGACCCAGAATCTAGTAGTTCGTCTGAGTAAGTTCGATCTTATGTGAAATAAACAACTTTACAGAAACTAGTCTTTGCATATAGAGACGAAGACGATGATAGTACGGAAGAAAAGAAAAGTGACGATGACGACAGTGAGACTGACTATTCAATTGGAATTGGAAAATTTTTAGAAAAAGTTAAATCGTGTTCAATTACTGTTCAACAAAAGCTAATAGCGTGCGCCACATTTCAAAAAGTGACAACAGCTCAGCATCCGTATACGAAAAGTGTACTTATTCCATACACACTTCTAAGACAACGTTTTTCTCTCCATTTAGCTTTCAAGAGGAAAACGTTATCGATCTTCAGCTAATAGCTTGTAGAAAAAAATATCGTAATAATGGTATAGGACGATATTTAGTCAAAGTATGTTATTAAATTCTTTTCTTCGCATACAATGACTATAGTAAATAATTTAGTTGTTAATGGATCATGCTTATATTGGAGATTATGACGCCGTTGTTACGGCAGCAGATCAGGAGGCAATCGATTTTTACCGTAAATTCGGTTTTACAGAAGATGCAATACTCACGAGTAAATATAAGTAAGTTAAAAGATGTGTACTTCTCCCATTATTACAGCCAATTATCGATCTATTTTAGATTAATTGGAGATTGTTGGACAAACACAAACAAAATGGTCTATCTTCCTGCTTATCATGGTAGACGTCTATGTCATAAAGATTGCTATCATTATAATAGATTATATAATTAGTTTTCAGTATCAAACGATGATCCAATTCGATGTTTAACATCAATGGATGAACAGTTTCAGAAATGGTAACTAATGCTATTGCTTTGTTTAAACTAACGCAATGTTGTTCTTTAAGGCAGCGGACAATGTTTAGTGGTTATCAGAATCAAGCTGCTTTATTTAATCGTTTGAAAAATGAAATGATTGGACTCTATGCAAAGGTTATTATACATATCTGTATGTACACGTATTGCAGTAAATTTGAAAATTTAATTCTATTATATTAGATTAACGCACAAGAATTGACGATAACATCATTATATAAAGAAAATACATCATTGAGTAAGATAAATATTTTATGATTGATAAATAGGAAAATAATGAATCTGCTTTTTAGAAGCACAACTGGCAAAACTAGGACAAAGACGAGAAGATAGAGGAGACGATGAAGGTAATGGCTCGAATGCACATGAGAAATTCTCATATCAACATTCATTTTCATTGTTTAGAACCGCACAATGAAGACGAAAATAGTATTTGCGATCATTTTTTAACAGAGCAGTTAGAAAAAGTATCATTACAAGGCGAACAATCTCTTATCGGTAGATCTGGACGATTTTTCGATACGTTCGTTTTGTTGAAGTTATTTGCCATTGTAGCTCAAATGTCTTTATTAATGGACGATGATTGCAATCAACAATTAGCAATTGACTATAGTTCATCTATGTTAACAAATTCAAATATGTATCGAATAAAAGCGAAAAAGGTAGAAGAAGTCATGTTATGCTCAATATCTACTATAACATTAACTCGAATCAATTTTTCTAGATTCGAGTCGATTCAGCGTCAAATGCACTTTATCAAAGTGCTCGTTCGTCGTTACAAGGACAGAAAAATGAAACGTTGCTATTTTACAGTGGTCATTCAGATCATCTGGATGTAGTTGCGGATGCCGGTTTTACGAGTGAAGGTAGGAGGCGATTTGAGAGATAATCAATAATATATCTGAACTTTTTATTTTAGATTTTGTTTACGGAAATTTTGGTAAAGGACTTTATTTCAACTCAAATATTTGTGATTGTCTAGTTAAAAATATTGGAGAAGTACAGCATTTCATCTTTAGCTCTATTACTAATTGATTTTACAAGATATTTTTCCATTGATAGATACAAAAAGTTTTATTATGCAAAGTAGCATTGGGCAAAATTGACGAGATAATGATTAATTCTACAAATAAAATTAGCTCAACAAGAAAAACGGGTTTCGATTCAGTGAAGGTAAGGCGTTGGTTTTTCCTTGTGTTTAACTGCTTAAATTGTCGTTCTTTTTTTAAGATTTTGAGTACCAAAAATTCCAATTCTGCTAACAGTTTTAAGAGTGAGCATGTTATATTCAGCGCACATTTAGCAATACCGTTGTTTCTACTGACATTTCAACCAGCGAACTAGATTATATGTGATTGTACAGTTGGGCATCTTTTGGCATTTCTGTACATTTTTAATGCGTGACAAGAAAGTGGACGACGCGTTAAGGTTCTACTTTCCATGAGTATTCACGTGTGATGCATCTTCCGACTAGTAAACACCCTGTTTATGATCAACTTAAAGAACATCAGATCCTTGTTTTGTATACCGTTAAAAGCGTCATGCGCATAATTACAATCTTATTTGATTTTTTTATTTTAAATATATTCATTTACAGAAGAATGTACAATGTCTAAATATCTTAGTACATTTTACTGTGTATGTATGGTAAAAATTGTTCTCTAGAGTCATATTTAATTTCGAGATATTATCGTTTAATTTTATATTGCTCATTGTTATATGATGAAACAAAAAATATGGGGAAAAAAGTGACAAAACAGTTTTTAAAGGTAAAAATATGCTTGACATTTGAGTTTATAGATCAGAAACTAGAATTAATATAATGACTGGTTTAAAACTAATTTATGATAATGAATCACTAGCTTCTATGAGAATTGAATAGTTGATCATTTAACGACATTTTTGTAGATCTTAACTTAAACTTATTGAAATTATTATTGCCATTTCTAATTAATTTGAAGTTTTGTGTAAAGAATCGATGTCACACTCAAAAGATATTTGTAACTGTCTACTAATAATTCGGTTGTAGATCAACGTTCTTGACGGGAATTACATTGAGACTTTATTTTGGATTTATTTTTAATGAGTATGTCAGCAAACAACACCAATAAAAAATTTATTTATAAAACAACTGTAGAACAAAAATGAAACATTATTATCTCAAACGTCACATAATGCTCATAAACACTTGACTTAGAAAAGTTGATAGAAAAACCACAAATAAATAATTGTGGAAATGTGAAAAATAGTATATACTCTAGAACAGAAATTAAAAACAAATGATAAAAATAACACGCGTCACATAACTTTGTTCACATTAACTTTAAAAAACTTTGATAAAAATTAATAATATTTCTTAAAACAAAGCTAACTATCAGACATGCTCTAGCAGTCGACTAAGTATAGCACAATTTAAGCGTGACGAGTGATGTTATGTGTTTATTGAGTCAAAAAAGAAGTGTTTTTAGTTAAAACAAAACGCATTCATTCTGTGAGACAAAATTTCCGATATTCGTATGAAAATGCCTCTTGCGCTATGACCTTATGTGGGAAGAATAGATATAAAATAGTATAAATATACAAATAAACACAAATTTTTATCATAAAGGAAAGACATAGATGTGAGTTGACAAAAAGTAGAGAAAGTGCGGTTCTATTATTATTATCAAATCTAATACGTAGTAGGATAATAGCTAAAGCCAAAAGTTCGAATAATTAGTTGATACAATTCATTTTTTTTGTACAACGTAAGAAAGAAAAGAACATTTCGAATAAGATTTATAGTAGGCAAAATCGGACATAATAGCAGGCGGTTTTTCTCCTCTCTTCTACAGTATATATTATGACATATGTCAGTTAACATTTAAAATATGAAATGTTAACTGTGCTGTACAGACAGTTCTGGATTTGCAATAAAAACGAAAACATTTTCAAATATCTGCACGCTTCTACCTCTGGTATATGAGAACATGAAAGTTTTTTGCTCAGCATACCCAAAAAAATAAAAACAGTAAAGTAAAATTTGTAAATTTCTAAAACAGGACATGAATAATAGAAAACTCGTTTAAACAGAATAAAATATTAGATCTTCTAAATTAGTATTTACTGCTATATTCTCTTAGTCTATTATTAATATTAGATTTTATTCATAATTTCGACTACACGTTCGAAAAACGAATAACTTACCACCGCATTTTCCATATACTTTATTTTAGATCAGTCTCGATAGTATAATAATTATCGTTTACTTCTACATGATTATGTTATTGATTAAAAAAGCTTTAATTGCATGGTTGTACCTTAATCAGAATCGAGTGGTACGAATAGATAAAAAAATAGGCAAATATATACATACTATCTGATATTTAATAAATAAACGTATTCTTATATTCTAGATGTATTTGTTCTATGAGCATTACATGAACAACTGCATTATTCAAAAGTATCATTTATTTTTCTGTATTTATTAAAGTTTTATTTGAGCTAATTGACTAAATTTTGGAAAGTCTTTAACCGGAACATTTTTGTCTTGTGCTTTCAATTGGAGATTTCGATCATCTGTGACAGATGATATGTCACTAGTACGACATCACGATGTAAATGATTGACTCCGTCTAAACAAAAAAAAAGATATATATACGCATATGTTAATCAATGATGCTAAAAGAAATTTAATTTTTGTGTCGTTTTTCTGTGTTTTTTTTACCCTACATTTCCCAATACCAATCAAATGACTCTTACCGTAAGTAAAGCTAATATAGCCAATTGTCTGTACATTTTATCATTCTTTGGATATAATGATCTTGTTTCCGAATAATACCTACGAATTAGAACGAAATAGCAATTAGTAATCGACACTTGCAAGGTCATATGCGCACTGCACATGATAAACAAACTTATTACTTTCTCGCTTGTGAATAATCATTTCCATTCATGTTATTGTCTTTATACCTAAATGTGGTATTGATATAAATCAATCTTGGACTACAATCACGACTAGAAAGAGATTACCTTGCTAAATCTTCCATATTTGCACGGCAATTCTGTGCACACAACAGTGCATATTTTATATAAACATTTGTTTCTGGTCGGTATATATTTGGATTTAAATTTAATCTTGTATCTAACAAAATGTCGATTCGAAGTGGTGCCGAATAAATACTAAGAAAAACTTTTCGCCCTAAAATATAGATTTCTGCACTGTACAGCAATTCTTCTAAATTTCTTTAGTTGACCAGCAAGATGTATAGTAAATGAAATTACCTACTGAACGGCTTGCATATAAACTTCGTTAGTAACTTGACTGTGTGTCTGATGCTAGAAGTCGTAGTTGAAGAACTGCCTAAAGAGATAAACAAGCAAGCAAACTTCATAAAAAAAACCCTCGTTATATATCAGTCTAAAGATTAAGTAGTCATTACTCATAAAACTTCGCCTTAATTAAATTAAGAATATCGACATTTATAACACGTCTATCAAAATATTCTTAAAACAGAAACTGACTAGGGAACCGATTTAACTGTCAACTCGTTTTTTCAATGAAACCTATTGGATGACAGGTTATCGATTATGCTGATTCCGAATATGACCATGGCTAGGACTGTAAAAGTTCCCGTTACTTCTTCGGCCGTTATCAACAACGCTAACTGTCTTTTTCAGTTACCATTGTTTTAACGGTAACTGTATTTTCAGTTAGCGTTAAATCAACGCAACGGGAACTTTTACAGTTCTAACCATGGCAATTGCTTATACGTCTCCAGAGATCCAGTTTTTCAGACATTCTAAAAAATAACCATAACCTTTCTCGATGAGGCATAATTGTAGCCCGCACATTTCTGATCAAAATGAGATGTCTCCTAGCTCTACACGACCTTTCTTTGCAAAGTTATACAATTTACAAGAAAACTCCTAAATTAATTTCTTATTTCTGTAGCTTTGAGCCGACAATGAACATTTAGGACTTTTCTTGTAAATTACCTCATTAAAAAAGGTTTTGGTTATTTTGAGTGTCTGAAAAACCGGATCTCTGGAGACCTATAAGCAACTGTCATGTTCGGCATTAGCATAGCCGATAACCTATAATCTACTAGGTCTCATTGAAAATTCGATTTGACAGTTAAATCGGTTCCCTCGTGAGATGAATATATAATTTGGATAGTAAATCAAAATTTAGGGTATGAGTAGATGAAAAAATGTCAGTGTGATTTCAAATAGCTGTTTTAAATGCAGATGTTAATACAAGCAATTAGAAAACAACCTGTTGATATCGAAGTATAGAAGAAAATAAGATTATTTACAGTGTTTTCATATTTGCTATGATTCCTTTTATGTAGCAAATGACTATAGGAATAGATGAGTTTTAAGACTTTGGCGTAAAAAAAGAGTTATTAACACAAAACACCCTTTAGTTTTAACTTACTGCTAATAAAATTCTTGCGTTTGTTCGATCGATGTTAGCGTATGCGATGCCGATCGTGGATGATGTCAATATTGTTGAACATTCGAAAGTGACGGGGGATTTATTGAAATATTTGTTTCATTTGTAGTTGTGGTATATTACCATCGAAGGAGTGTGTCGATGACGCTTTTACACATTATCGCTGATGCATTTGGGTCATATAATTTTGTTGTAATATTTGTCAAACCTCTTATAGACTAGTGTGATGATGGTTTAAATGATGATACTGCGATGTTGATTACAATATTGTTGTTGTTGTTTCAGTATTTCATTGTAAGATGAACGCTGTAATGTTGGATCACTTATCGTTTACTATGCGCTGTTATCATCGTCGTTTTCAACATGATTCGATAATACTTTTTCATCTCTATTAATGAATTACGACGATCTTCAGCCGATGATGCTTTCAACACTTCATATATTCTATCATCATATGCACTGTTCAGAAATTCGAGACTGGAAATTTTTAGTATTAATCGTTTTTCTACTATTATCCTCTTCTGTCAGTACTAAAGACGGAGACGATGTCTTTTCCAATAATTTTTTATTTTCGAATGTCATGTTAACAAATGTTAAACTTGGCTAAAACGAAACAGTTTTTATGAAAATGTGAGGTATAAAAAAACAAACTTTTCGAGAGAAATGCACATATTATTAGATAACAACCAATATAAAAAGTGCCTAAGACTTAGCAACTTTTGTGATAATTCTTCATTGTTCTGATCATTTTCTATTTGATTATCAAGTTTTAGTTTGATTTTAGTTTCTTGTTCTGTTGTTTTTCATTAAGTTTGTTATCATTTTTCTTCGAAATACGTTCATCATAGTGATTTAATTCAGTTAGAGAAGATGATAATACTTTTGTTGTTGTTATTGTGTTTTTGTT